TTAAAACAACACAAATTCATTGTCTTACAGCTCTGGACGTTAGAAATCTAAAATCAAGGTGTTGGCAGGGCTGCATTTCTTCTGGAGGCTCTAGGGGAGAATGTATTTCCTTGCCTTTTCTACCTTCTAGAAGCTGCCTGCATTTCTTGGCTTGCAGCCCCACATCTATTTTAGAATCAGCTTTTCAAATTTCACACAAAGAAAACTCTGGTGGGATTTTGATTGAAATTACTATACATTGAGATTACACATAAGTATGGAAAGAATTTACTTTACTATATTGAGTCTTCTTACCTATAAACATGGGATTTTGATTTATTTAGGACTTTTTACATGTCATTTAAGATAAGGTGTCATGGTTTTCTGCATACAGATCTTCAAATTTTGCACATTACTTTTTTTTTTTTTTTTTTTCAATTTAAGAGACAAGGTCTTGCTCTGTTGCCAAGGCTGGAGTTGCAGTGGCATGATCATAGCTCACTGCAGCCTCCGATTCCTGGGCTCAAGCCATTCTCCCATCTCAGCTTCCTGAGTAGCTATGTCTACAAGTGTGCACCACCACACTTGGCTAATTTTTAAATTTTTTTATAGAGACAGGGTCTCGCTAAATTGCCCAGGCTGGTCTTGAACTCCTGGGCTCAAGCAATCCTACCACCTTGGCCTCCCAAAGTGCTGGAAGTACAGGTGTGAAATACTGTGCCTGGCCAGAGTTAACATTTTATCAACTGCCTTTTTGAGCATTTCTCAAGATGCTTGTGTCATTTTCTTCTTTAATCTGTTGATGTGGTGAGGAGCTTTTATAGATTTTCCTTTGTTAAGCCATCCTGGCATTCCTGTTCTTGGATTTGGTTTACTAATATTTTGTTTCATAATTTTACATCTATACTCATGAGTGAGGTTGGCCTGAAATATATCTGTTTCATGCTTTGTCTGATTTTCCTATCAAGATTATACTGGCCTTCTAGAATATGTTTGGAGCATTCGCTCTTTTTCCATTCTTTGAAAGTATTTGAGTAATATTGAAACAATCTATTCATTGAAAACTTGCCCCCAGTATCATCTGGGGTTGGTATTTTCTCAGGAAGTTTTTAACTACAGTTGCAATTTATTTAGTACTTTTTGGTTTCTTCACATTTTCTAATTCATTTTGAATCAATTTGTTCATTATGTTTTCTTGATTTTGTTTATTTTATATACATTATAAAATTAATAGATACAAAGTTCTTCATAGGATTCTTTTATCCTTCTATCATCTCCTGGATCTATAGTTATGTTCCTTTTTGTCATTTGCGGTGGAGTTTATTTGCACCTTCTCTCTTCTTGCTCCAGTTGTCAAAGGCTTCATAAATCTCTCTGGTTTATAGATTTCTGCCCTTATCTTTACCTTTTTACTTCTACTTTTTCTTGGTTTATTCTCTTGAACTTCCCTCTCTTTTCTAAAACTTCTTAACTTGGGCACTTGATTCATTATTTTTCGGCCTTTCTTCCTTACTAACATAAATATTTGAGGCTATAAATTTCCCAAAGTGCATTATTGGCATCTGCTGTCAGGCCCATCCTGCCTTTCTTTAACTTTCCAGCCAGAAGGACACATTATTTGGAGTGGAGGTAAAAGTTATAGATATCCCTAAGGTCTTGTGAGATGTGAGACCAGCATGCTTCAAGGAATGTTTCTTTTATTTTTTAGTGATGGGGTTGAACTCCTGGGTTCAAGCGATTCTCCCATCTTAGCCTCCCAAATAGCTCAGACACATAGCTACGGGCACACACCCCCCGCACCTGGCTTGTTTCTTATGGAGCATGTAGTTATTCTGGAAGGGTGGAGTCCCTCAGAGCATCTAATTGTGGCAGTCTTTTGTATTTTCCTTGTTTCGTTTTGTTTTTCCACAGTATTTATCAATATCTGATGTGCTATATTCTTGTTTATTGCCTTTCTCTTCCCGACAGAATGTAAGCTCTCTGAGGGCAAGGATTTTTCCCAGTTTTTGTTTTCTGCTGCATCTTTAGCATCTAAAACACTGACTGTTACTTTGTATGTGATCTGATCAGTCAATATTTGTTGAATGAATGAGGGCGGAGGGGATGGTGTAAAAAAGCGAAAAGCAATGTCAAATCTTGAACTTTGGCCTTGAAATGCTTTTATACATTCCTCTATGACCCTTGTCACAGGGTGTCCTTACATTTCCCTCGACTACTGTAGCCCATTTCCAGCTGGTCTCTCTGTCTCTCTACTTTGTGGTGCATTCATCCTTTCCACTCTGTCCTTCACATCACTGCCAGACTTTCTTCCTAAATATAGATCTGATTATTTCACTGTTCTGTCTTGGCTTTGCCTGTAGAATAAATTCCAGTGTCTTTAATGTAGCATTTTATTCCCGACATAGTTTTCTGGTCTTATTTCTACACTGGACATTTTATGCTTTAGTCACATCAAAACACAGGCTCTCAGTATACCATGTCTGTGACCCTATGTGACCATGCCATTAACCTGTAGGGGTCTATCAGCCTGAAAAGTCATTCTTTTTTTTTTTTTTTTTTAATGCTTATCAAAATCTTAGTCGTCCTTGCTTAAAGTCATCCAAAGTCATCTTCCTAAAGACTATCCTGATGTACAATGGAAAAAGTAATTCATTCGCAGCAATTTTTCTTTTGGTACTTTTCATAATCTGCATCATGTTCTAAAAAGCTATCTCTGTCTTTCCCTACTAGGTTTAAGCTCCTTAAAGTCAAAGTCTTCATGTTTTATTTCTCTTTGTTCTTTGAAAGTCTGAAGTACAACATTTTATACATAATGGATCTTTGATAAATATAATAGTTGCCAGATTTGAATTTTGAAGGTCCAGGTTCTGTCTGATGCTATTTTTCTCTTTCTGCTGTGGTGAACCAGTCCAGTCTCATGTCTTCAGTTATCACACTCCAGTGACAATAACTTCAAGCCCAAATCTTCCTGTTCCCACTCCCCTGGCTAGTATGCATTCGGCATGTCACATTGCTCAAACTCAGTATGTCATCTCCTTCTCTTGATTATTATTATTATTATTTTTTGAGACAGAGTCTGACTCTGTTGCCCAGGCTAGAGTGCCGTGGCATCAGCCTAACTCACAGCAACCTCCAACTTGTGGGCTCACGCGATCTTTCTGCCTCAGCCTTCCGAGTAGCTGGGACTGCAGGCATGCACCACCATGCCCGGCTAATTTTTTCTATATATTTTTAGTTGGCCAATTAACTTGTTTCTATTTTTAGTAGAGACGAAGTCTTGCTCTTGCTCAGGCTGGTTTCAAAGTCCTGACCTCAAGTGATCCGCCTGCCTTGGCTTCCCAGAGTGCTGGGATTACAGGCGTGAGCCACCGCGCCCGGCCTTCTCTTGGTTATTTCCCATCCCAAACCAGTACCTCTCGTAATTTTTCTATTACCATAAAAAGGCACCAGCATTCCTTTAGTCACACAAACTCAAAACCTTGGCAAAGTCTTTACCACCTCTCTTCTCAATCTTTTGACTTGAACCAGTCTAAAGTCCTGTTACTTTTCTCTTCTAAAGTGCTTCTCAGCTCCATACCTCCCTCTTTGTTTCTGCTGTCAAGACATTGGACAAAAGTCTGATCACCTGACACCCAGTTCCATTGGTTTCCCGTCTCCTGTATTCTCACTGCCTATAACATGAGGGTCAGATTACTTGACCTGGTATTTAAGACTATCCAGATCTAGGTTCATCCTGCCACCCTCAACAAGAGCCCTCTCATTTCTGTCACTGTGTCCTGTGCATCCCTGTTTACAGCCTTTGCCATCTCCGTGGCGTCCTCACCCTCTCTCTGCTCCGCCATGCTGGTTCCTTGTCATTTTTCAGGATCTGGCTAATGGACACTGTTCCCCCCCCCAGCCCCATGAACATTTCCCTTAATAGTGAAATTTCTAGTTAATCACTTTCTCCTTTGAAGTATTTTTTTAGTGCTTATTGTTTTCATTGAAACGTTCAAAGAAAATCAAATTGGAAGGGATCTTAAAAGTAATCCAGTTTAATCTCCAGCCCAAGACCTCAATCCTCTCTGTAACTCATACATAGCATCATACATTATCTTCTAATATTATACAATGCTTCTTAATTTTCTTTCTACTTACATAGTGAGCATCTGGAGTTTAGGAACTTGGTTTTTACTGTGCTTTTGTTTTTTCACTTAATGCTTAGCATGGTTCTTTGTCCCTAGAAGACACTAAAAATATATTCATTGATTGAATAAATGAGTCCAATAAGTTAACAACAATATATTTTCTCTCTGAAGAGTCTACACAGGAGACTTACTTGTCCCCCTCACCCAACAAAAACCTATCTCCACAGTTTCTCTGTTTCCAGATGTCTACAGATAAGGATGACTTAAAAAATGGTGGAGATACATTTGCAGCCTACCCTTTTCTTTATATAGCTCTGTATTAGCCTTGGTTTTTATTTTCCTACATCTTAAAATGGACTATCTTGGACTATCTTGCTTTTGCATGTACTATAGCTGATACACGAATTTTAATGGAGTCTGTTGAATGTTGATCATGTTTTCCTATGGTAGTTTAGAAAATATTTAAGAAGCAACATTCCATTTGATATACTTAAATAAAGGCAATTGTGTTGTGATTTGAAATTTTATAGGAAAATTTTCAACCACATAAACTCTTTGTTGGCAGTAAGTAGACAGTGTATAATTTGTGGAGGTTTAAAAATTATTAGTTTTATTTTACAGGGTGACTAGAAATGATAGCTTTAATTGCTTTGTAATTATTTGTATGATATAATTTTGAAAATAAGATATGTTTCCATGGCAAGGATGTTTACATAAAGTTAGTGCTAACTTCAGGTATGTCAAATGCTTTACTATGCAGAGGGTACTTAATATTTGATTATAGTTTTGATAAAAATACAGAAATGATATATATTCTTTTAAGAACTTTTCTCCATTTTAGAGCATGTCAAAAGAATAAACATAGTAATTTGAATGCTCTATTTTTATTTCTAGAAACCAGCAAATATCCTAGTAATGGGAGAAGGTCCTGAAAGGGGGAGAGTCAAAATAGGTAGGTAATATTCCTAAAATAATTTATTAAGAAACTGAAGTGACTGCAAAGATGCTTTCCCTTTTCAACACCCTTATTTAAATAGCTAATTTTAAAATTACTTCCTCATAAGATTTTTAGAAAAGATGCTGGAAAATGTAGATAGATAGTCTATAAAACCCCTGGTTTTTCCCCCAAAATAAGATTCTATAATTCTAGGTTGAGGCATCACTGGAAATTAACAAGCAAGCTCACAAAAGCATTCATTCCCATACAATATCCCAAGCATGTGTTTATCTCACCACCACTGTCCTGCATAGTCACCCTAAACATAATTCCCTAAATCTTGCTTTTGTCTGAGGTTTACCAATGTTCTCTTTCTGAATACTTCCCTCCCTACCCTGAACTAATACATACAAACCCTCACAGGTTCTCCCCACTTGGCCACCCCAGGCCTGCATGCCCTGTGCCAGGTACTAACATATCTTTTCCAAATGAATATATATGTTTACAGCCTCTTTTACCTGCACTGGCAGGAGTCTTATCTGTATATTTAAAAATTTTCCTTTGCATCCCTGAAGATTCTAAAAGAAATCAGCATCATTTGTACCTATGACATATTTGGGGGAGAAAATGAGCTAAGAAATGCTTTATTCTAATTCTCTTTTAATAGCTATTACATTAATTGGATGTTCAATGCTTTTTAGAAGGAATTTGAAAGAAATTTTGTTCATCAGCCTGCATTCTTTGCTATTAGAATACCGTGCTAGAGGTAGTGAAAAATTGTGCTAACTTGACCTACTACAAATTCATGCTGTCCTACTTCAAGCCTGACCTGTCACTTGTTTTTCTACTTCTTCAATTAACTCCCTAGCCCAGTTCCTGAAGAAGCTGTTCTAAACCAACTTCCTTTTCTTTAAAACTCTACTCAGATTCATACAAAAGTTTGTTGATGTTAATTAAGTACCCGGTGGCTGCTTTCCTTCTCTTCCCTCCTCCTCCCCTTTCCACCACTTCTCACTTGGTTCTATTTTTATTTTACTCTTACATTTATTTTCTTAGAGGCTTTTGTTGAGTCTCTGCTTTTTGCCAGACACAGGTGAAAGGAGGGAGATAAAGGATGGTCCCTCCCTGTGAGAGAGAGTAAAATAAACAGTTTACTATACAGTGTGATAGGTGCGTCCATGTGTTACCTCATTTATTTTACACAACCACCCTGTAAAGGTAGATATTACAGATAGGGAAAACTGGAGTTAGAGAGGTTGTAGCTTGCTCAGCCTTTCAAAGCTAGGACTTGAATGCCAAGTGCTGAGACTTTTTCCCTCCAAACATCCCTGCCTAGTGGCATCAGAGCTGTCTGGTGTGACCTCACTGACCTCTACTCTTTGGTGGCTCTGCCTTTGAAACAGCCTCAGCGAAAGAGTGATTCTTCCCTTCCTAAGTCCCATGTACTTGTGCCTTTCCTAGCTTCTAATTATCTTCCTTACTTAAGCTCCCCATGTTACGATATTGCCATTTCCTCTCTCTCAAGTTTCTCCTCTTCACCTTTAAACATAGTCCTTTTCCCGATTTTAAAATAAATCTAAACATAGTCCTTTTCCTGATTTTAAAATAAAATAAATCACATTTATTTTCTTGTTTTCTTTAGCATTGTTCTATTTATTTCTCCTCTTGTTCCTCTATTCCTGGAACACATGATGTTCACCCTTTGGTTTCACTTACTGTAATTTGTTATAATCTGGTCTCTAATTCCATGCCTCTATCAAAATTCCTCTCTAAAAGGACACCTGTGACCACTACCTTACCAAATCTAGTGGCCTGTGTTAGTCACCGTTCTCCTTTACTGGAGAATACACCATTTGTTCTTCTGACCAGTCTGGCTTTGAGCCTGTCTTCTCCCTTGGTCTATATGATATAACATAATTCCACTTTTCTACCTAAAACTTTTGCTGTTCCTTCTGTGTTTTATTCATTATTGTCTCTTACTCCTGTTAACCTATTGTTTCAAGACACTGTAGGCACTGGCTTGGGACATGACCTCCATGTACAATTATTTCTTTAGGGAATTGATAAGTTGTGGCCTCAAAATCTTGGATTTTATGAAAATGGTTCTAAGATCTGGATCTGAAATTGTAGTCTCTCACCCTAGCTGGAGTCTTTGTCTCTCTTTAGATGTCCTGTTGGCAACTTACACTGTGTTGTCCAAAACCAGATTTTTAGTCATCTTATGTTCTCTTTTGTTTATACCATTTATTACATTTATCCCAGTCACTCAAGGCTAATGTCTTCTCCTATTACTCCTCAACATAAAATTCTGTACTCTGGCCAGGCTAGTTAGTTACCTTACTGTTCAGAGATTTAGGATCGTTATTCTACCCAAGATTAGGGATAAAACCAGGGTTAATAGTAAGCAGTAATTACTAATAAAGATCTAGTGTACAAGCAAGCTAGCTCATTAAATTGCCTTTAAATTTTATTTTAATAGCCATTATTTTTTTAAAAAGTTAGTAATACAGATGCCTATGCCTAATGCTTAATATAGTTCTTTTTTGGCATAAAAGAAAAGCATAGTTGAATAGAAAACATACTGTGCCTTTCCTTGTATCTGAGCCTTCCCCTCCCAGCCACCTACAGACTTCCCAGGCCCTACCTAAAACATTATTGCCTGCCTTTTTCACTATGCAAAATGATTCTCCTTTAGGATCCAGCCCAAGTGCCACTTTCAATTTAGTCTACTTCTAGAGATATTTATTAAACATTGTTCCAGATAATGCCAAGAAGGAGACATAGATCCTCCCCCCAAGGGACTTAGCATTTAGTAGAAACCAGTAGCACCTTTCTTTATTCTCACAGTACTTATCCCTTTTTTAACTTTCATCTATTCCATATATTTTTTCATTTCTCTTCCACTTAAGCTCCTTAGATGGTAGACCTTGTCTGTTGCTGCTTTTCTATCATTTTATAATGAGCACCCACACCCGAATTTTACTTCCCCATAGCCATGGAATTGAACAATTTCATCCATATCTAATTTTAGGAAAATAAATGTTATAGTAATCTTTAAGTTAGTTCCTTTTGTCTAAATTAGTAATTATTTGAAAAGTGGTTTGAAACGCTCTTAAAGTTCATACAATTGACAGGAATTGTTTTTAAGAATATTTATTATTTCCTTCTGGCCTTGATTTCATCTGACTATGAGATGAGGCTTAGGTAAAACTAAAACTAAGGAGGTAGAGAATAAAGGGAGAAATACTGGCTTTAGCCTTTACTTCAAAATGCTTTTTAGCAGATGAAACAGCATTCTATCATACAACTTTCCATTAACAACAATCAGCATCTATGAAATATCTAAAGCAGTGCTTTGAATGTTGTGTCATATTGTAGAATAATAGGTATCATATTGAGAGCATGATTTTGAATATTTTTGTTACTACAGGGAAATTGAGTTTAAAAAGAGTATGTATCAACACAGGCTTCCTTGGATAGCTTTAGTTTTTAAGAACTGGATACTGCAAAGCATTCTCAGGAAGTCTTATAAATTATTCAAACTCTAAAGAAACAAAATCATTGTAAATTAAAATTTTAACATATGTCATATCATAGCATGTTAGTTTTAGATTAAATGACACTATAGTTGAAACTTTTATGTGCATTTGTGCATTTTATAATACATTGGGGCCCCTTCTATAATTAAAATGCACTGTGTATATTATATACTTCAAATTATAGAGGTTTATCATTCTTGTGAGTTTCCTTTTGTGACTTGCAGTTATCATATGTATAATTTATTGGATATCAGATCAGTGGTTAAGAATGTAGCTCCTAAATTATAACATGGTTTTTGTTCAAGTACTGGCATCTTTACTTACTATTCCTTTCCTTAATATTTCTTTGCTTACTATATCCTCAGTCATTTAACTGCTTTGGGCAGAAGTGGGGAAAAAGATACTTATCAAACCAGTGTTCTTATGAGGATTAAATGAAGTGATACATGATGTATGTAAAAACCATTTGTAAACTGCAAAGCATTTTGTAGATATAAAGTATCTGTTATTTATGAAATCTTAAGAAAATTAGCCTCCTGGACCTTATTATAGTGATAAGTATTCTTTTTACTACTTTTGTATACCCCAAATACTTAAATTGATTAGCTTTGGTTTAGACCTTTGTTAAATGTTGAATTATAACAAATTATCTCTTATGTGTTTTATTTATGTTCTTGGAAATATGTATGTGATGCATTTGCATATGCATTTGCTGTTTTTCATGATGTAAATACTCCCACCATAGCCAATTCCTAGTCACCAATATGCCGTCACTGAATGCAGAGTTGGGAAGAGATCAACAAATTAGCTCTTGTGAGTTTGTAGGATATGGTTACAGTACACACTGAACTAAGACATAGTCAGTTTTTAGATGTGTAGGCATATAGAAGTCATAATTAATTGTGGAGACTTGTAGTCTATTTTAGATTTTAAAAACATTGAAGAATGTTATTGTAATGTGTCTGAAAGCCCAGAAATCTGAAGTCAGACCTGGATTCTAATTCTGACTCTACTTTCTAGCTCTATGATCTTGGCAAAGTCAGAATATCTTTAATCCTCAACTTCATCAGTAAAAGAGGCACAAGAATAGTATCTACTACAGAGGGGAGATACTAAAGATAAATACAGTAATTCCTGTCTGGTGCCTATTGTAGACGTCTGATTAAAAAGGGAGGAAATGACTGCTTTATAACGTTAGCAGCTGCTATTATTAAACTTGCATGATTCTAATAACATGTCGAACTGAATTTTATATTAATTTATTTTATTTTTTAGCTGACATGGGTTTTGCCAGATTATTCAATTCTCCTCTAAAGCCACTAGCAGATTTGGATCCAGTAGTTGTGACATTTTGGTATCGGGCTCCAGAACTTTTGCTTGGTGCAAGGCATTATACAAAGGCCATTGGTAAGTTAAAGTGATTTACTATCTTGCCATTGAACTATCCTAAATACCAAATGGTATAATAATAAAGCTTCTTGATAAAAACTACTTTATATATCTTTATAAAAGCCCTGTTTTCTGTATTCCTAGATTTTACATTCTGGTATATTTGGGTTTTTAACTATATAGGAGAATATGGTTCTTTTTTTTTTTTTTTTCATTTTTTATTTTTTTTATTTTTTATTTTTTGAGAATATGGTTCTTTTAAAAGAAAGCATTTTCTGCTTGTTTCCTTACGTTTGAGGAAAAAACAAACAAAAAGAATTTTCTTATAGAGAATAGATGTATCTGATCCTGTTGAGTTGCTATAGAACAATAACATGCATATTTGATTTTGTATTTATCTAGCTATTGATCAGAAGAACTGGAGAGAGGTTTAGAATTGTTTTCTTCACTAAAAGAAAACAGGAATAGTACAGTATTGGAGAGAGCCCCTTCTATTTGGGGAGAAGTTAGTCATATCCTTTCCTAAGCAAGAAAAAATGACTAATCTCTCTCTCTTACTATCACAGTTATCAGAATGGCAGTTCTCCTTTAAGGTAGGAAATAGAGTCCAGGTAGATTAGCTGTGCTCAGCTTCTTGCTATCTCACCAAGTAAAAAAACTGAGTAAGAAAACCTGTTATAAGCACACACTCTGCAGGATTTAGAGGCTGCCTTAGAACAGAGGCTTCAGAGGTTTTGCTACCTGGTCACTATAGAGTCCTCAGAGGGCCCAGCTATGAGTTGAAGGAGTCAGCTGGGGAGAGCCATCCTCAAGCCTGGAGATTTCTTTATGGGGAGTAAAAAGTGAGGGTACAGGGAGAGTAAGTTGTATCTATTAGAAGTGCTAGTTCTATAAGGTACCTAAATTTCTACATTAAACAAGCTTACAAAAAACCTGGGGGCACCCAAAGAACTACAAAGGAAGTTCTCACATTTGATAGTAAATCTATTCATGGGTAAAAACAAACAAAAATCAAAATATAGTAATGTTGTCATTCATCAGAAAGTCTGATTTCTACAGAATCTACCCAGTTTCTACAGTTCTACCCAGAACACGTTTATATTTTGCCCAGGGACTAAGACACTAGTACAGTGCTGGAATTTTGTAAATATTTTATAAATACTGCTGAATGGTCTTGTTAAATTAGTGAAAAAGCCTGTGAGTAGTCTCAGAACTATGAGGAAACCAGCATGTGCCTGACAGAAGAGGAGTGTGAGACTGACATTAGACGCGTACTCAGCAGTTGCACCTAAGGTAAGGCGCAGCTCAGAGTCTGCGCGGCCATGCTGTCAGCAGTGGATGGTGGCAGCTGTCTGTGCAGGGTAAAGGAGGAAGGATGCAGAAAGCAAGTGGAAGGGCTTGAGTGGCTTTAAGAATGAGGAGGTACATTCAGACCTTGACCCTTTTTACACTCCAACAAGTAACTTTCACTGGGGGGGCCATATTTTTGAGACTTTTAGAATTATAAGCTTCTTTTTATTATTATTATTTGGGTCTCTCCTTACTCACTATTGAGAACAGTCCAATCCCTTAGACCATCCCAGAAGGCACCAGAAGATAGGAAGAGACTAGGCCAGGGAGAGGGGGAATATTAGTAGGAAGTACCAGGTGATGCCCCAGAACAGGTCTGATGGTGCTAATCCAGGGCCCAGGCGGGGGTAGAGGATGCAATGTTAGTAGAAATCCCGATGTCTTGGGTTCTCACCAACTGCTAGTGCTGTCTGTACCTATAAGGGAGATTTCCATTAAGAAAAGGCAAATTCAGCCAAAACGTTTCTGTTAAACTAAATGCCTGTCCCACTCTCAGAGAATCTAATGCAGCAGAACCACGGGAAGGCCCATTTTTTACACGTACCCTTGGGTGAGTCTGTTGTGTGTGACCCACGCACTTTGAGAAGCACAGTTTTGTGAATATTTTCTGATTAATTTCTCTACTGTTTAAATGAAAATAGATGTGACTTTTTTGAAATAAAGGTAATTGGGTATGAATTGAAAACCAATTATAGTTCTTATTTCCTCAGGGTAAGGAGAACTGAAATTGAATTTTAACCAGCTTGCAACTTACTTGCTCAGTAAATGAAATTTACCACTTAAAGATAAAAACATAATCACTAATTTCTAATTTTAGTCAAGTCCCAATTATCCATTCTGGATAGAAGTTAGAAGAAAAGTTAAGACAGAGAAAAAGAATAATCCCCAAATCAGTTATCTTTGGGCTTGAAATATATTCATAGCAGACATACATAAGTACATACATAGTCACTCATTCTCACTCTTCTCCGTACCTGGTCCATGTTAGAAAGAAGTATTTATTTTCAGAGCATAGAAAAAAGAAAGTGTGATAAATTTGATATCAGTGGAATGACATTTAGTGGGGGAGAGGAGTGACAATGGTGGTGGCAGTAGTGGTGGTGGGGCGTGCATGTATGTGTGTATCAGAGAACAAGTCATTGATACAGGAAAGAAACCTGATCAGCAGGGATAGATGGTGCAGGAGCCAGGTGGCCATTTAAAATTATAGGCTAATATGAGGCAGGAAACCCTAGAATTTAATGCTCCCTGCCACTGTGAGATTCCTTATCTTAGCAATTCCTAAGGAAATCTAGATCCTAGCTCCTGTTCCTTGAGTGGAGAGAACAGACCAGGAATTGGCATGAGCAGCAGGGGCGGTAGTAGCCCCAGCTGACTGCGTAGTAGAGGCAAGCAGGAGAAAGAGAGATGGGACCATCAGAGACAGCCATGTTGGGGGCAAGAGTGACAACCAACATGATGTGGGAGAGAGAAAAGAATTAAAAAGTAGACACTGAACAGTATTGTTACTCTACCCTGTAGTGATGATGTTCATGATGCTGATGACCTTGCTGCATCATTAAGGAAGATGAAATTATGTTTTATAGCTTCTTACGATGGCAGGTAGTGGTGTAATAAAAAATGTATATTACGATGGCGGAAAAAAAAAATGTATATTAAAGGGATATGTTCCCATTATTCAGAAGGTAACTTCTGTGGAAGGAAACTATTGCTGATGGGGTCAAATAAGTGACGGGTTACTATGTAGTTTTTTCCATTCGGCAGTTTGTTTTATGAAATAGCATACAACATTCATTCTAGCTAGTGAGTATGCAGTAGTCCCCCTTATCTGCTAGGAGTATGTTCCAAGGCCCCAGTGGATGCCTGAAACCACAGATAGCACCGAACCCTAAATGTACTATGTTTTGGGGGTTGTTTTTTGAGATAGGGTCTTACTCTGTTGCCCAGGCTGGAGTGTAGTAGTGTGATCATAGCTCACTGCAGCCTCCAACACCTAGGCTCAAGTGCTCCTCTTGCCTCAGCCTCCCAAGTAGTTGGGACTACAGGTGTGCACTACCATGGCCAATTAATTTTTTAATTTTTTGTAGAGATGAGGCCTCACTATGTTGCTCAGGCTGGTCTCTAATTCCTGGGCTCAAGTGATCTTCCCACCTCAGCCTCCCATAGTGCTGGGATTACAGGCATGAGCCACTGCGCCCAGCTGATACTGTGTTGTTGTTTTTTGTTTGTTTGTTTTGTCTGATAACCCAGATGGCCATTAAGTGACTAACGGGCAGGTAGTGAGTATACAGTGTGGATACACTGGATATAAGAGAGGATTCCTGTCCTTGGTGGATGGAGCAGGACAGTGTGATATTTCATCACACTACTCAAAATTGTACACAATTTAAAACTTATAAATGGTTTGTTTCTGGATTTTTCCATTTAATATTTTTAGACCGCGGCTGACTGCGGGTAACAAATCACAGAGAGCAAAATCAGGATAAGTGGGGACTACTGCAATTACACTTTTTTCTTATTTAGCTTATCTATAGAATGTGATGCTCACAGTTGCTAGGCTACTAAACACTGTGTACTTTTCTATACTATACCATAGTCCTTGCATTACTATCTTTTCTTTTTAAAAAATATTTATGAAATGGCATTTATTTAAGTGGACAAGGGTGAATATACATCTCACAAGAGTTAATTTCCTTATACATTTGGCAAAACATTGTGACTATAATATGGTCTCAAAATATAAATCACAGTCTTTCAATGTGTAAAATTCAATGGAATAATCTATAACTGGTGATTTTAAATAGTTAATAGAACTTTTAAAAAAATGCCTAACTTTATCCTGGGGGTTGTGATGAGGATAGGGCAGCATCTGAGTGAATATGTTTAGATAAGATCTATCTCTACTACTGTCATGCAGTGCTTATATATATTTGTATTATTTATGAATTTCTAGACTTTACAATTTGTTGAAAAAAACTGAAGCTGGTAGTCTTCCAGACAAAAGGTTTTTTTTCTAAATCCTTTTATGTGGTGTGTACTATCCATGTATTCAACATTCATAAATTTTGCTCTATCATTATTCATCCGATTACTGTAAGGGACTCACATCACCATATCTGATGATGATATTTTATCAGTCTGTCAGATCTAAGTATCATGCCTGGTATTAGCTTATCAGTTGAATGCTTGAGTGATTAAATTATTAATAGTGGTTAGAAAAGTTTTTGCCTAAATCTAAAAAATTCATTGCTTGCTAAATTGAGTTTCCCAAGTTTATCTTCATCAGAAAATTTACAAGTAAATGTTTTTTATTTGGCTTTCAATCTGTTACATGATATAGCTATTTCATGGCATTTATATGTTAATGCACTTTCTATATTTTATACATTTATTTACTGAAGCGTATTTTTATCTGTAGGTTGAGATTATACTCAGGAATAAGCAAGGAAATATAATAAATGTGTACAAAACTTGTTTTTCTTCCTTCATAGATATATGGGCAATAGGTTGCATATTTGCTGAATTGTTGACTTCAGAACCTATTTTTCACTGTCGTCAGGAAGATATAAAAACAAGCAATCCCTTTCATCATGATCAACTAGATAGGATATTTAGCGTCATGGGGTTTCCAGCAGGTAATTCATTTTGCTTTTCAAGATAATATTTTGAGTCATATTTAAAAATCATTTCAAAAGCATGTTTTATGTATATTTTAAACTAAAATAATTAAGAGATTTTAAATAGAATTAACACATTATTTTCTACAACAATATTCAATTTTTTTTTGTAAGATAAAGACTGGGAAGATATTAGAAAGATGCCAGAATATCCCACACTTCAAAAAGACTTTAGAAGAACAACGTAAGTAATTCCATATTGTCTTAGTCTGTTTGTGCTGCTATAAAAATTGCCTTAGACTAAGTAGTTTATAAACAACAGGAATTTATTTTCTCACAGTTCTGGAGGCTGGGAAGTTCAAGACCTCGGCACCAGCAGGTTTGGTGTCTGCTGAGGGCTGCTTTCTGCTTCCAAGATGGCACTTTGTTGCTGTGTCCTCACATGGTGGAAGGCAGAAAGGGGTGAATGCTATGTGAAGCCTATTTATGAGGCATTAATCCCATTCACCACTAATCACTAATCACTTCCTGAAGGCCCCACCTTCCAGTGCTGTTGCATGGGGAATTGAGTTTCAACATGAATTTGGGAGGGGATACAAATATATCACACATTAATTATAGGTAGTAACTTCAATGGGAACATTTAAATTAATCTTTTTAAAAATGTAGATTAGATGTAGCTATAGATTATTATTTAAACCAAAAACTTAGATTTTAGCATATTAATTATACCTATGATTTAAAGAAGATCTTCCAGATCTGTTAACATATATGCCAGGTTTAGGCTACAGTATTAAAAACTTTAAAGAATTTAAGGGTCAATAGATAGTTTGTTTTAGCATGATAAAGGACTCAGTTCAGGGCCATAACAACAGTAGTAGTTTTATCTCTATCTGAGTAATGAATGAATGAATGGTAACCAAAATGCTGGACTAGGAAACCAGGAAGGTTGGCAGAAGGAAAAACACATGGCCTGGGATCTGAGTAAGTAAACTGGTGGGACATGTACATTGAGTAGAAATGAGAGGAGAGTATAGGCGATGGCATGTGAGGACTTTGTTATAAATATGCACACCTGGAGGAAATGGTAGAAGAGTTTCTTTGTGGGCAACTTACCAAGAAAATTTCAGGACAGGATGGCTTGTAGGAACAAAGCAGATATCATAAAGAGAAGTAGAGAATGGCATTGATCATTTCTGGCCCCATTTTTGCACAGTCCTTAGTAGGGTCCTTTGCCCTTGTCCATTTTTTAAAGACAGCACTGATATCAAGGTTCTGTCTTGGGCTCTCTTCTCTCCCTAGACATCTTCTCAGGCAGACTCCCTGATTTTCGTGGCCACAGTTTACCATCAGTTATGCTGATAACTCCCAATGTATATATCCTATTCAGATTTCTTTTCTAAGTTTCAAGCCCATTTATCTAATTGCCTTATGGAATCCCAACATGAATCTTCCATAAATACTTTAAATTAAATGTCCAAAACTGAACTCATCATCTATTCTCCCAAACCTCTTTTCCTGCTGTATTTTCTGTCTTAGAAAATGGCTCCCTGATTCACCTAATTGTTCAAGTTAAAGACCTGAGAGTTATCCCTGATCCTCCTTCTGTCTCACTCTCTTCCCTTTCACCGCCAGCATCCAAACAATTAGCAAATCTAGTCCTAGTTCTTTCTTCTGAAGGTCCTTTGAATCTTTCTGTTTCTCTCCATCTACCCTACTTCTATTATAGTCCAAACTACCTTCTTCTCTCCTAGAATCTTGCAATGGCCCCCTTAGTGGTATTTCTAACTTCACTCTTCATTCTAACTCACTGCCTGTACTGCAGGCGTCATCAAAAGCAAATTTGATCATGTCAATTTCCTGGTTGCTCTGAATTTACCCTTGCTTTCCATTCCTGAACATGGCTTACAGAGTTTCCGCTTCTTCATCACCAGGTCCATCTGCTAACCACTGTCCACGTTGTTGTATCCTGTAGCCTCAACACTGGGGATGTCTTTAAGTACCTCAAACACACTGAGCTTTCTTTGACCTGTGGATTTTTACACATGCTGTTCTCTCAATACGATATAGTTTCTTCCCACCCCTTTCATCAGAGTCTTACTTAATTTTTTCTACTTATCCTTTAGGTCTTGGCTCCTCCGACCTGCCAGGTCTGAGTTAGGCGGTTCCCCCTTGCAGTCCTGTCACATCGTGTGCTGCTGCTGTCAGCACTGGTCACCGTGTGCACTATAGTTAGCTTTTGAATACTATCTGTCTTTCCCTCCAGATGTATGGCTCATCCCTCCTCCGTGTGCCATTATATGTGTCCCCAGGGCCTGGCACACAGTACATGCTGATTAATTACTTGCCAAATGGATATTGAATGAAAGTAGTTCAAGTAACTGAAGATACTCTAATAATATAAATGATGGAGAAAATTAATGGAAGCACTTAATGTCTAATTTAGTATTTAAACACCAAATGAGAAGTTTTACATAAAATGATAATGTTCACAATAACCAGAAATAAAAGGAGAGAAATGTAAAAAGACAAATTTGGTTAGAAGAATAATGGAAAAGTCCAGAGGTAAGAGCCCAACCTCTTAAGCAATCCTACCCAACATAAAAACAGGCTGCTAATACATAGGACAACAAAGGGTTTGTTAAGAATTACTAAAATCTAATACAGTACATAAGAGTCACTAAAGTAAAACAAAGTGAAGAAAAAGATTCTAGAAAATATTACTTCAAATGACATAACAAGTAAAAGGATAACCACTTGTTTTTATTGCATCAAATAAATTGCTCTTAAAATGAATTGGGAATAATGACAACAGAATTTTCTGTAATCTCTCCAAAGTGTCAACTCCAATTAGTTCATTAGAAAGCAAGGTAAAAATAGAATTAAAAAGAAATCATTAAGTTGACTTTAAAACATTGAATGTTCAAATGAACATAGTCTGATAAAATGCTTCATAAAGTGTATCAAGAGTTTGGATATCTTTGAAGACTGTTTAGCTCCTAAACTATAGCAAACCTGGAAGGGGATAAGTCGGAAAACGACAAACAGTTGAACTTGACTTTAATACTCGGTAAGATAAGAAGAAACCCAAATGAGAACTGAGTGATAGGACATCTCAAATTCAAGACCTTTTATGTTATGACAGAAACAAATAACCTAGCATCTGGAATTAACCTAAGTAAAAGTTGATTCAACATGAAGGCCACACACATGAAGACAGACCCCATTTCTATGTACACTTTAAGGTTGCTTTCCATTACCACACTCAGCAGGTACCTTGCCAATAAAAATTTTTCTGGTATTGGAGGAATTTTTTTTAAACATGGCAAAGATTTTTGAAATGTAAATATCTAGTGTTGGCAAGGGTACAATAAAATGGGCACTCTCATTCCTCTGCTCCTGGTGAGAATGAGTGCTTCTCACACTTTACCTACATACAGATCACTTGAAGATCTTGTTAAAAATGTAGCTTCTGGCCGGGCGCGGTGGCTCACGCCTGTAATCCTAGCACTCTGGGAGGCCGAGGCGGGTGGATTGCTCGAGGTCAGGAGTTAGAAACCAGCCTGAGCAAGAGCGAGACCCCCGTCTCTACTATAAATAGAAAGAAATTAATTGGCCAACTAATATATATAGAAAAAAAAAATGTAGCTTCTGAGTTAGAATCTGGAGGCCTGAGAATCTGCATTTCTAATGCAGGCTCTCAGGTGATGCCCAGGCTGCTGACAAAGGCCACATTTGTGTAGCAAGATTCTGGAGCACCCAAAAAAGGCTTTAGAATGAGCATCCCTTTGACCTGATAATTCGAGGAATTTATCCTGTGGAACTAACCAGAGCTGCCACAAATAGCTGGGTACTTACCAGATGCTAGGATGGTGCTAAGCCCTTGACATACATTTCTCATGATCTTCATGGCAGATCTATAGGGTAGATATAATTATAAATCCCCATTTTTCAGGTGAGGTTCTTCAAGCTTTCATAGAGGTTAACTAACTTGCCCAAGATCACACAATTGGTAAATGACTGAGTTAGGGTCCAGTAGGGGTCTGTGATTCTCACCTGCAGTGCAGTATTGTCTCCCTGCCATGTGCATCAGATTTACCTACAGGGACCTGCATGTCATAGCTATTATAAAAACAACATTGTACCAGTAGGGGATATACAGTCACTCAAAATAATAAATTTAAAGAGTGTTAGACAGGGGAAAATGTTTATGAAACAATATTAAGTGAAAAAAGCTATAACAATTTTTATACTATGATTCCTATTTTTTTTTTTTTTTTTTTTAGGCATTCCCAAACATTCTGTAATATACTATGATTCCTATTTTATAAAAACAAAGGAAGAAAAATCCCTGTGTCGGTATCATATATATGTATATTATGGAAACACATGCAAAGGAAAATTATAAAAATTTTGACAGTAGTTCATTATCATTGAATTATTAGGATTATGAGTGATTTAAGTGATTTATACTTTTCCATATTCTCTAATTGTTTTAACCATGAACATATATTACATATTTTAGACCTTTTTAATTTGAAATATTTCATATGTAGGTAAGAACATGTTGAATATGATATATAGTATATTTAGAATAATAAAATGGATACCCTTTCACTCACCCTTCAACCTAAGAAATAGCACATTGCTAAAATTACTGAAGTACCCTGTATATCCTTTCTTCCTGTTCACACCGTCCTCGAGGGTAGATGCTGAGTGTTCTGAATTTGTGTATATCATTCCACATTTTTCATCATAGTTTTACTCCACATTTATCTCTAAAAAATGATTAAATGTTTAACGTCTTTGAACTTTATACAAATGCTATCATACTATTTTTTTCTGCAGCTTCCTTTTTTTCCTCCGCTCAACCCTATGTATTATTTTTTAGTATTGTATAACATTCCATTCTGTTACTATATAACAATTTATTTACCCCATTCTTCAGTTGATGTACATCTGGGTTGTTAATGATTTTTTGCTATTACTATTTTTTTTGCTAATGCTAAGAACATTCTTATCCATGTATCCTGAGAAACATGTAGAAAAAGCATCTGTTATATTCGAGTATGTGCATAGAAATGGAATTGCTGGGTCATGGGTTATACACATTTTCAACTCCTAATGATTAATAAATAATTGTTTTCTGAAGGGATTATAACAACGTAAACTCTGAAATATAGTGTGGAACAGTTCCCATTTCTTTTACACATTTGCCAATATTTGATAGTGTTCCTTTTTAATCAGAAAAAAATCAGTGGCTTAAACACATACCTTATAGGAAAACCAGTGTTGGAGCTGTTTATTAAAAAATGTAAATTGTGTGAGTGTTCCCAGTGACACGTGACTGTCTATGTCCTTGCAGGTACGCCAACAGTAGCCTCATAAAGTACATGGAGAAACACAAGGTCAAGCCTGACAGCAAAGTGTTCCTCTTGGTAGGTGCTTCTCTCCCAGGCTGAAATCTGACCTTTAGCACAAGTCTCACCTCATCCCATTTACCCTGGAATTGTCCCAGCTATTCTTCTTCTTTAGAAACAAACAAAAAAAATTGGTGGATATTGGGGCAAAATTAAATATTTTTTCTGTTGAGATGTCACCCTTGACTTCTAGCCTTAATTTTGTTAGTGATTTATTACAGAAAAGGGCTTTAATGTTGATGTTTTCTGCCAGTTTTACATAAATGTGTGCAGTAAACTAATCTGTAGTGAGCTATTCAATTCACAATGTATTGATGTTAATCCTATTGGACATTAATCAATACAAAAGACAAAAACGTGGACTTGTAAAGAACCTTTTCATGTCCTATCAATTTCCTTTATGTTATTCTAGCTTCAGAAACTTCTCACCATGGATCCAACCAAGAGAATTACCTCGGAGCAGGCCCTGCAGGACCCCTATTTTCAGGAGGACCCCTTGCCGACCTTAGAGTATGTATCCTGTGTCCTTTGTTGTAGGTTGAGGATGTCAGATGGTGGCTGAAAGCAAAAGGAAGCACTCATTTACTGCACTGTTTCACTTTCTTCATGAATACTACCTAGAGAGAAGCCGCTCTGGAGAACGGTCCTGTATTTCGAAACAGGCAGAGCTGTAGAGAGGTGTGAGTAAAAATGAGTGTTTCAGAAACACTCACCATTAATTAAATGAGTGTTTTAGAAACACCATTAATTAGAAATCTGACCGTTAATGAGATTTACAGATGAAAACTAAAGCTGAGAACAGATGAGACCTTTGTAGCCCAATCAGCCAGATCAGAGATTAAACCAAACCAGTAGGGAAATGACAACTTAAAATGCTCTCCAGAGCGCGTGCAGCACTGCACTGCAGAACCCCTGGACTCCTTCATCCTTATCACACCCAAGTAAGTACTTGGTGCTTCCTTTTATTAGAGGTGTAGTTTTTCTAGAGGAGAAAAACAAAGTATTTTCTTGTTGAAGCAAATGCAAATTGAGTTGTTTTTGGTGCTAATGAAGTTAGTGTGGAAAAACTTTTATGTCTTATATGTCGACTAGCTAACAGCAGTCAAGATTTGAAATTGAAAGTGGCAATTAGTGTAAAACTTCAGATGAGTTAATTGTTTTCTTATTGCTTGAGTTAAATTGTGTTGAGAGGTATCCAGCAAACACCAGCCACAGAGGAAGAGTAGGAAATACGTTATGAAAAAAAAGTGAAATTTCAAATTAACAAGGTAATGATATAGTAGATTTTAGGTCATTACATGTTTTTTCTTTTCAATGATTTTTAGTGTATTTGCTGGCTGCCAGATTCCGTACCCTAAAAGAGAATTCCTTAATGAAGATGAACCAGAAGAGAAGGGTGACAAGGTATAAATTGCATGGTACACTTTAACTTCCAGAGAGTAAGGGAGGCAGAAAGATAACTTAGGTATAATTTAACATTTCCTGTGTATTTAACCACCTTTTATTTAATTACATGTGTATTTATTTTCTATGGAAGTTTGGGGATTGTAGATGTACCTTGAAGTTTGAAATGTAATAAGCTTATAGATAGATGAACTTCCTGGTTTATTTTATAGCCTATTTTATCCTGTGATTCCTGATTCTTGCTCGTTTGGTTTGTTCGATGTCATTGCCATCACTTAATGCAGGTGGCGTTTGCAAGCATGGCTCTGTTCTTTTATCTTAGCTGGATTCATCAGCCACCTCCCCATACTGCTCCCCTTTTCCAAAATCATAATGAAAAAGACTTCTTACAGCTGTTCTAATGAGTACGGAACTATCTCCTCTGTGCTTTATGGCCTTCAGTAGGTGTGTGTGACTGATTTGGGGGGTCACCATGCAGTCGAAGGGACCTTCCGAGAGTACCTGGAGCTTGGTACGTCGACCTTTGGGACCGCTGTGCTCCCGGGCTGCTCCCTTCCGCAGTCCCTGTTGTCACTTTAATGTTCCCCATGGGTTGTTACCCCAGGTTGGTCAGCAGTCACAGGTGCAGGTCAAGTTTTCCTTAATTTGGTTTCATACCAATCTTGCTTTTTTTTCTTTTTCCTTAAAAGAATCAGCAACAGCAGCAGAACCAGCATCAGCAGCCCACAGCCCCCGCACAGCAGGCCGCCGCCCCCCCACAGGCGCCCCCGCCCCAGCAGAACAGCACCCAGACCAACGGGACCGCGGGCGGGGCGGGCGCGGGCGTGGGGGGCGCGGGCGCGGGGCTGCAGCACAGCCAGGACTCGGGCCTGAGCCAGGTGCCGCCCAGCAAGAAGCCGCGCCTCGGGCCTTCGGGCGCCAACTCAGGCGGGCCTGTCATGCCGTCGGATTATCAGGTACTCCTCTGAAGTTTGTGCTTTTTGATGTTTGTATGTTTTATGAAATGGGAACTAGATCTGTAATAGAGCCTTACAGAGTTAAGGAATACTTTAACATTTGACTACACAAACTGTACAGTCCCATTTCTAGGGCATCATGTGAAAATGGAGATTTCATCGTATTTTAGACAATTGTAAGATGGTTCATATCTTGACCTGTTTATCCTCACAAGTGAAGGGGAAGGTGGGCAGGCAGGCACCTCCCTTCTTAAGGAAAATTCCATCTTTCACCTAACAGCTACCTTATTAGCTTTGGTATATCAGAAAAGATACCGTGTTTCCTCGAAAATAAGACCTACCCATAAAATAAGCCCTAGCAGAATTTCTAAGAATTTGCGCAATATACCGAAAATAAGACTTAGTGATGGCCGGTGGCTACACAGCGTATCTGCACAGCCCATGCATTTTGTTGCGGAGCGGTAAAGAAGAGCAGCCCTTCTAATCTGCCCCACGAGAGCTCTGTTGCTCGACATGAGAGATTGGGGCCAATGGTTCTAAAGGAAATAGAGTCGCAAGAAATTCAGGATGGAATTCAGGGTTTGGAGAGTTATGATGATGTTCCAGAAGAAGATGACTTAACTGCATTTAAATAAATGTAGATTGTTGTACCATACTTAAAAAAAAAAAAATACATCCTCTGAAAATAAGCCCTCGGGTGTCTTCTTGAGGAAAAATAAATATATGACCCTGTCTTATTTTCAGGGAAACATGGTAGTTCCTTCTTTTTTTTTTTGAGACAGAGTCTCACTCTGTTGCCTGGGCTAGAGTCCTGTAGCATCAGCCTAGCTCACAGCAACCTCAAACTCCTGAGCTCAAGCGATCCTTCTGCCTCAACCTCCCAAGTAGCTGGGACTACAGGCATGTGCCACCATGCCTGGCTAATTTTTTTCTATATATTTTTAGTTGGCCAAATTAATTTCTTTCTATTTTTAGTAGAGCTGGGATCTTGCTCTTGCTTAGGATGGTTTCGAACTCCTGACCTTGAGTGATCCTCCCACCCCAGCCTCCCAGAGTGCTAGGATTGCAGGCAGCCACCACCCCAGGCCAAGATAGTTCCTTTGAAAAGGGAAGGGCATGGTGGTTTACCTGGGACAAAATTAATTGCATTCTTCAGAAAGATTTATTCTTATTGGGAGGAAAGAATCAGTAAGTAGCCACATAGATATAGAAGAGAGAGGGATTAAGACTGAGACTTCTGAGAAATAATTGTCAAGTCTCACTAGAAATAATTTTGAGACTAGGGAATACTTTTTGTTATTTAGATAAAAAGAGAAGTACAGTTGTGCTACTAATCCAGGAAATTAAAGGAAGTAAATCTAAGGATTGGTATTTGGAGAGAGAGGTAAAGATTCTCATTGTGATAACCCTAGGGAATCTTGCAAAAAGAAAAACCATTTTCAAGGCAATAACAAGCTAAGAAAAGACCTAGGAAGCAGGGAAAACTTAAATGAAAGGTTAAAAAAAGGTTTAGCGCCATGGTCCCTCAGGGAACTCATGGAAGCAGATACTTAGGATAGAGATAATAGAAAACAAAGCCACTGGCAAGGGAGCCATAAACTCACTGATAAGGAACTATAATAAAGAGAAAAGTTAACAAGAAAGTCAGAATAAATAGCTGCTTAAACTGGCTTTACATTTTGTTTTTTTTTCTTTATTTTTTTTATTTTTTTTTTTTTTGAGACAGAGTCTCACTTTGTTGCCCAGGCTAGAGTGAGTGCCGTGGCATCAGCCTAGCTCACAGCAACCTCAATCTCCTGGGCTCGAGTGATCCTTCTGCCTCAGCCTCCCGGGTAGCTGGGACTACAGGCATGCGCCACCATGCCCGGCTAATTTTTTATATATATATATCAGTTGGCCAATTAATTTCTTTCTATTTATAGTAGAGACGGGGTCTCGCTCTTGCTCAGGCTGGTTTTGAACTCCTGACCTTGAGCAATCCGCCCGCCTCGGCCTCCCAAGAGCTAGGATTACAGGCGTGAGCCACAGCGCCCGGCCTGGCTTTACATTTTGAATATCTCAACAACTACTTCTCTGAAAACTTCTCTGCATGAACATTCCCTGCGAGCAGAAGAGTATATAATACTTAGAGTTGGTTCCAATTAAACTAATCAAGGCTTCTCAGTTTGATCTACTAAAAACAGCCTGCTATTTGGGTAGCAGTCATGAGCATATTTGAATTTTGCCACAAAACCAGTTTTTCCGCAAACTTCAGTTTATCCCTGTTATATGAACAACAAATGTTTACTATTAATATATAATGGTTCATTTTTGTGTCTCTGATTGTATTATGTTAACCTGTGTTAAGGAAAAAAATGATCTAAACACTTGTTAAAGTTGGTAAGGCAGACTTTATTCCAGAGAGGTCATGGCAATAGGTTTGGAGACCAGTGCAACGTGGTCTTGCAGTGGGGTGGAGATTGGACTCAACTCCAAGGAGGCCAAGCGGAGATTTATAACCAAGGAGCAGGGTAGGGGGTCAGTGGATAGCAAATAACTGAGAAGAGACATCAAGGATAAAGGATAAAGGGGTTCTTGGTGAAACTGACTTGATGGGATTATTGTTGAAGGCTGGCCAGGGAAATAAACTATCAAGGGTGGGAGATTTTTGCTAATAAGATCCTACAAGGACAGAGAGGGAAGCCCAAGGTCAGGCCTAGTCAATCAGAGGGCTCAGAGGAGACTGAATTTTGGTTTAAGGAGAGAGTCTTTGTCACCTGCTTATAATCAATTATAAACACATTAGGGTATTTCCTTCTGTTTTTTTTTTCCAAATTCAAAAATTCTTCAAAATGCATTTCTTTTCTTTGACCATGTTGTTCTGTCTACTTAAAAATAAACCTTCCAGCATATCTATGACATGGATGGATACCTCAGCTATTTAGTTGGAGAGACTAGCATGAGGTGGAGCAGGGAGTCCCATTGCATGTAATTTGTAGCTCATCTATAATCAGCATATTTGTTCTTGATTTAGTATGGAAGAGCTGTTGTACCGGCTGAGTCTAATCTGCTAAAGTAAAAGCAATCATAGCTAGCCTAAGAATTGCAGGGCATTGGTCTTAACATTTTCATCTTTTTTCCGTACCTTTTCCAGTTTGAGGCCTTCTCAGGAATAAGACATCTTAATATTTATTTCAGTTTCCATCATAAACACTTTTATTATTTTTTATTTATTTATTTATTTATTTATTTTTTGAGACAGAGTCTCGCTTTGTTGCCCAGGCTAGAGTAAGTGCCATGGCATCAGCCTAGTCCACAGCAACCTTAAACTCCTGGGCTCAAGCAATCCTGCTGCCTCAGCCTCCCAAGTAGCTGGGACTACAGGCATGCGCTACCATGCCCGGCTAATATTTTCTGTATATATTAGTTGGCCAATTAATTTCTTTCTGTTTATAGTAGAGATGGTGTCGTGCTCTTGCTCAGGCTGATTTCGAACTCCTGACCTCGAGCAATCCGCCCGCCTCAGCCTCCCAGAGTGCTCAGATTACAGGCATGAGCCACCGCGCGTGGCCATGAACACTTTTAAAATGAAAAATTAATAGCCATATTTCATAATGTTTAAGAAAGACTAATGTGATATTTTGTTGTATTTGATTTTCCCTGAGTTACTTTTATCTCAATTGATTCCAGGCCAGACTTAACTCAGACTTAACTAAACATAGGGGAACTTCTGTCATGTTTTTCAGTGGGTTCCATTAGTAGAGTTTCAAGGGTTTTGGACTGTTTCATCAATGTATTTATTGTAAGGAAGTACAATTAGTACCTTGAAAAGAGGAACATTGGCTTTTTAGAAAGATATGTCACATATTAGATTCTTTACATTGTATTTTATGGCAAAATTGCCACTAATGACTTATGAGTGGAAGCATATTTTTTCATAATAAACTTCAAAATAAAACATATAGTTAAAATTTGGAATTTTGAAAGGCTTCTTTCACCAACACAACTCGTCAGTTATATAATTTAGGAAGGCACGAAGCGGAGTTGTTTTTAACCAAGACTGTCTTACTGCCTGGTTGTTTTGGACCAGATGCTGCAGTCCAGTTTGGCAGCCTGTGAGCACTGAGGGGGAGGACCTTGCGGATTTGTCTTTCCTTCAACCCCCAGTGCCACCTCAAGGTCATTTACATCTTTAACTCAAAGTAATAGCTTTATTACATACATTCTTTCCCACTTTGCTCACCAAAAAAAACCCAGCCGTCTTAGTATAGCCAAAGACATTGCTAGTTCCAGCTGTGCTATATGTTTAACCAGGTACCTTTCATATTCTGTGGATTGATTTTCCTTTTATACAGTTTTTCATATTTGCCTTAGGTACTATGAAGATGAAGGTTTCATTTAAAGTAATAAAGATAGGTTGAATTGAAATACGTTTTTCTTTGTCTCCTCTCAAGAACAAAAATCACAAAAATTACTTTATTCTAAATATTACCTGAAGTTTATAAAACCCACTTATCACCACCACAACCTGCCTGACTTTGCCTTGCTCTGTCTTGCAGGTGGGGCTGCTGAACCCCTGAGCTTCTGCTTCTTTGTTCTAAAGCGATGATTTCTTAATCAGAGCTTTCTTGTTTCTAATGAAAGGATTAACACGTCACTATACATTATGAATACCATTGATTACAATGTGCCAAAATGGTTATTCTTGTTTGTAAATCTCAGTTATGCAAAGGGTTAAATTTCACCCCAGAATTAGTCAGTATAAAAAGCAGTGGGTCAGCTTAAGTTTCCCCTCTGCCTTTGTTTGCCACTGTAGCTTATCTCCCAAAGAAATCTAGCCAAACTTTGTGCTTGCCAGAATGTGTGGTTACAGTGGGATTAGGCTATGATTTCAGTAAGCAAAATGTATGAACAAATTAACTGTCAGCTGTGTGGCTCTGAACCAGTGGCCTCATGATAAAAATGACATATATTAATATCTCCATCCTCTTGTGATTAACATTTTGAGCCATTCTTTTCCATCAGTAATTCCCTTTTCGTTTTTCCTTCTCTAGCACTCCAGTTCTCGCCTGAATTACCAAAGCAGCGTTCAGGGATCCTCTCAGTCCCAGAGCACACTAGGCTACTCCTCCTCGTCTCAGCAGAGCTCACAGTACCACTCATCTCACCAGGCCCATCGGTACTGAGCAGCTCCACTCAGCCCAGGCCAGCCCAGAGCACAGACTCCAGCAATATGATGTCTGCATTGAAAAGAACCAAAAAATGCAAACTATGATGCCATTTAAAACTCATACACTTGGGAGGAAAACTTTCTATATTGAGCATTTTGCAGGACTAATATCTCTTCTTTATTGACTTAAAGAAGAGCGTTGTGAAGTTTCCCAGCACCCCTTCCCCGCATGTGTTCCATTGTGACTTCTCTGATAAAGCGTCTGATCTAATCCCAGCACTTCTGTAACCTTCAGCATTTTTTTTGAAGGATTTCCTGGTGCACCTTTCTCATGCTGTAGCAATCACTATGATTTATCTTTTCGAAGCTCTTTTAATAGGATTTTAATGTTTTAGAAACAGGATTCCCGTGGTGTATAGTTTTATACTTCATGAACTGATTTAGCAACACAGGTGAAAATGCACCTTTTAAAAGCACTACGTTGTTTTCACAGACTATAACTGTTTTGCTCGTGGAAGTCTTAAACAGAAACTGTTCCTGTCCCAAAGTACTTTACTATCATGTTTCTATTTATCTAGTTTCAGGGAAGGTCTAATAAAAAAGACAAGTAGTGGGACAGAGGGAACCTACAACCAAAAACAGCCTAGATCTTTGCAGTGACTATGCTTTATGCTATGAAGAACTGAAGTATGTGATAATTTTTATATAATCATTCATATGGAACATAGTTCCCAGAATCATCTTATTCTGAATAGTATTCAGTAATTAAGAATTATAATTTTAAACTTCATGTAGCTAAGTCTACCTTAAAAAGGGTTTCAAGAGCTTTGATGAAATAGAGTCTCTGGTGACCCACACCAAAATGCTGAAGAGAATATCAACTGCACTAGGATTTCTTTAAGGAGTAATTTTGATCAAAAGACGTGTTACTTCCCTTTGAAGGAAAAGCTTTTAGTGTGCATTGTACATAAAGTTGGCTTCTCTAAAGAACTGTTGATTTCTTCACATCTGGGTCTGCGTGAGTAACTTTCTTACACAATCAAGGGTACTCAAGTGGAAGCCTGAAAATTTGTCTGCTTTTGAAATAAAAAGCAGTGTTCTCCATTCGTATTTGCATTAGACATAGAGTGACTATTTTTAAAGCATGTTAAAAATTTAGGTTTTATCATGTTTAAAGTATGTATTATGTATGTATGTATGTATGTATGCATAATTTTGCTGTTGTTACTGAAACTTAATTCTATCAAGAATCTTTTCATTGCACTGAATGCTTTCTTTTGCCCCTAGGAGAAAACTTAATAATTGTGCCTAAAAACTATGGGCAGATAGTATAAGACTATACTAGATAAAGTGAATATTTGCATTTCCATTATCTATGAATTAGTGGCTGAGTTCTTTCTTAGCTGCTGCAAGGAGCCCTCACTCCCCAGAGTCAAGAGGAAATGTAAAGACTTAGAGCTCCCATTGTAATGTGTGGGGCAAGCAATTTGTGTTCTTCTGAATGCTACTAGCAGCACCAGCCTTGTTTTAAACGTTTTTTTCTTGAGCTAGAAGAAATAGCTGATTATTGTATATGCAAATTATATGCATTTTTTAAAACTATTCTTTGTGAACTTATCTACCTGGTTATGATACTCTGGGTCCATACACAAGTAAAATAAGATTTTAGACAAAAGCCAGTATACATTTTGCACTATTGATGTGATACTGTAGCCAGGCAGGACCTTATTGATCTCAGCATAATAATGCTTGTTAATAATAATAAGACTGTATAGTGACACTTACCAAGATTAAAGATGAAACAGGTGACATATTCCATGGGAAGGAATTTCTGATCATCTCCATTATATTTTAACCCTTCCATTTTTTAAAATAAGAAATTAACAGCCCTCTGCATAATGTAGCTACCTGTAGAAAGTTCTGTCCTGTGCCCTACAGCCTCATAGTCCAGAGCTATTGATCATCAGATGCCCACTGCACCCTCAGCATGTGCCCAGTGCCCTGCTGGGTAGAAAACACAAAGGGCAGGATGCACTTCCTGTCCTCAAGGAGCTTATGGCCAATTTGGGACAGTAAGCTCTCCTGGGATATCTATGCCATGTGATAATATGAAGGTCCTTTTTTGTTTATTTCTAAGCCCACTTGGATAGTTATAATTCCAAATTCTGCTCTATAGTTAACAGTGTCACAGAAGGATTTCTGTGTCTGTCCACCTTAGAGAAAGCCAGTCATTAAATATCACAAAGGGCACTCATGTATATTTGCAATGTTCACAGCAGCCTTTCAGCAACACTTGGGTGGTTCTTGTAGGCAGAACGCACTCTACTAAGTGGTTGTAGGTAATTATAATGAAAATAGAAGCTCTCTTCCCGCCCTCAAGGGAGCTTACAATTAATAAAAGAAGACAAACCCAAATGGATACATGAACCCAAATACCATGCCCCTTAATACTTTATAAGCAACTTTGATATACAGGTCTTATGATATGCGCTTATACATTCACAGGACTACGCTGCTTTCCCTATATATTATGAATTTTACTGGCAGGACTGAAATATAAACGTGAGGGCAGAGGGGCAGTGTTCTCCAGTACCTAGCCAGAAAACCCCATTACACATGTGACTGGGTTTCTTGTCACCACACTGGTACTGGCTCTTTTCTCCTCTCTTCTTGCCTCAGGGTTGGTGTTGCCCATTTGTTCCCATCGCCCTTTGAAGTCATTTTGGTTCACAATTTCCTTTCTCTATGAAGGGAAACAAAGCCTTTAACACACCTTAAGGGCCCTGAAACTGCAGGACCGAAGCTTTTTGAGGACAAAATTACCTTTGTGGTTTCCAAATGACCACATTCCTCTTTGAAAACTTATTAGATACTCTTATGTCCCCCATGGATTCAGGACAGTCATCCCTCAGTCTATGGGAACACCAAGCCAGGGGAGGTTAGTGAAAGGAAGGCATGAGTCAAAGTGAAGGCTTTCTGCTGTCCATTATGACAGACCAGTTTTAGAGTTAGCTTTATAGTAAGGTGTGCATTTGGGAAAAGGGATTCAAGAGCTTCAGGACAGATGAGCCCAAGATAAGGTAGCTTGGTGCAGGGCTGATACTATGAGGCTGAAACAGTCCTTGTGATGAAGTAGATCATGCAATGACATACAAAAACCAAGGATCATGTATATTTTTATATCTGTGTGGTTTTGAAACTGTAGTACTTAGAATTTTGGCCTTCTGCACTACTCTTTTACAAATGTATTAAGAATGGAAAGGGATGACATTTACCTGTGTGTTTGGCTTCATTCTTGGTGAAGCAACTGCTGGTGGTTCTCTGTGTCTCTACAATGATGCTGTTTTCCCTGCTAAAAGTAAAAGAAAAAATAGTTGGAGACTAAGACTTGCAGCTTGATCCGCTTTTGAAAAAAATATATGTAGCAGAAACTGTACGATGAAGGAAGAATTCTATGAATATTGCAAATCCGAAACTCTGGTGATGTCTTCCTAGGGAGCGGAGAAAGGTAGTGAAATGGCAGTTAGACTAACAGAGACTTGAAGGATTCAAGGACAAGTAATATTTTATATAAGACATAGCAGTTTAGATCCCCATAATCCTCAAGAATAGTCACAAATACCATAAAACAAAGTTCATTGTTTTAGGATTTTTAAAAAATGTGTTGTACCTAAGGCCATACTTACTCTTCTATGCTATCACTGCAAAGAAGTGATACGTATGTATTATATGAAAAAAAAAATCCTTAATGCACTGTTATCTCCTAAATATTTAGTAAATTAATACTATTTAATTTTTTAAAGATTTGTCTGTGTAGACACTAAAAAGTATTACACAAAATCTGGACTGAAGGTGTCCTTTTTAACAACAATTTAAAGTACTTTTTATATATGTTATGTAGTATATCCTTTCTAAACTGCCTAGTTTGTATTTCCTATAATTCCTATTTGTGAAGTGTACCAGTTCTTGTCTCTTTTTTCAGTCATTTTCTGCACGCATCCCTCTTTACATGATTATAGAGATGACTGTAGCTTTCCACACTCTGCCGTGAGGTGTGTGCCGGGAGCCGCCCCAGCAAGCCCCTTGCGTGGGGTACGGGACGAGCTGCCACTTTGCAGCGGGTGTTTCCTGCTTTTGAGTTGTTCTGACATCCTTCTCAAAATGACTGTTAAAACTAAAATAAATTACATTGCATTTATTTTATATTCTTGGTTGAAATAAAATTTAATTGACTTTGCTTGTGTGGCTTTTTTTAAGTGTAAAAAGCTCTTGTAATAAGTTTTGGTGTTGAAATTTTATCTGTGTGCCTAGAAGCTTTTATGATTACACTTGTCCTGCAGAGATATTAATACAACGTCTCCCTGTGAGTTGCAATATGTTATTTTGTTCAGGACGCTTATGATGTCACAAAACTACAAAAGCAAGGCGTCCAAATACCTCAGAAGTAAAATTACAGTTTTTAAAACATCTTCAGGGGAAACATCTTTTTTTTAAAAAAAAAAAAAGGAAAATCAGAATGACTTTTAGAAGAAAACAAATAAGCAGCATTTTGTGGATGGGTTTGGGTTGTTAGTTTCTCCTTTTATAAGAGCATTCTGCTGCACGTAGCCAGCCCTTCTCTTATTTACCTGATGCATCTTCTATGGTTACTCCAATATTCAATTCATGGAATGAATTGAACAATGTTTAAGTGACGTGAATATAAAACTTTCATTTCTATTTAAAATAGTGACTGCACAAGTCCAACTTGGCTGCTTCACTGGTTGGATGGATTGTATGTTTAATATTGTGCTGTTTGTAGGGTAGATTTTCTCTTGGAAAACTGTTCTTTGACCTCAGCTGCCTTTCTCACCAGCCATCTGTGTAAGAGAAAGTGGTGACTGGACAAACCCTTTACCATCCCCGGGAGAACAACTGGGAGGTTTGTGTCCATCTCCCCAGCAGACTGTACATTCTTTGTGGACAGGGCCTGGGTTTTACTCTCTGTACTCCCAGCACCTGGCATAGTGCCCAACACAGAGCAGATGCTTAATGTGGCAACTCGTTAGCATCACTCTGCGCGCTTGCATAGAATGCCTGGATCATACAATATGCCGTCTCTGTATATGGATGGGGATGCACGTAATTTTGTTCTATGGATAATAAAAATGCTAGAAATAGGCATCACTTTCTTAAAATATGTTCATTGCTTATATTTTTGGCTGCAAAGTCATAATAAAATATCACCCCAAAGGGACAAACAATTCAAATTGCATTTGAGTGAAAAATTAAGCAAAGTTAGTCCTACCTGCCAATCTTCTGTAGACGTCATCTTTGTTTTGGCTGCTTAGAGGAAGGTGTTTTAAAGCCTCGCGTAGCATCATTGTATCTAGTAGGCAGTAGGAAGCCAGTTTGGACAAGCAACACACAAACCCAATAGGAAAATTTGTTTATTTTGTCGAAATAAATGAGAATATAGTGTAGGGGAAAGAAGTGAAAATGTTGACTTAAAACATCAAAATGTATCTCTTCAGCACATTCTTTGCTGCGCAAGCTTTTTCCAAAAGTGCTGCTGAGTCTCTTTATACAAAGATGCTGTTATGGGCTGAATGTGTTCCCTCCAAAGTCTTGTGTTGAAGCCCTAACCCCCAGTGTGACTATATTTAGAGACAAGTAATTCAAGGTAAATGTGGTTATAAGGGTAGGGCCCTGATCCAATAGGTTTAGTGTCCTTATAAAAAGAGACAGCAGAGAGCTCACTCTCTGTCCCCTCTTCTTTCTCCTCTTTCCCCCCTCCCCTCTCCCCTGAGGACACAGCAAAAAGGCTGGCATCTGCAAGCCAGGAAGAGAGCCCTCACCAGAAAGTGATCCTGCTGGACCTTGAGCTTAGAGTTTCCAGCCTCCAGAACTGTGAGAAAGTAAGTTTCTGTTGTTTATGCCACTCAGTCTATGGTATTCTGTTATGGCAGCCCGAGCTAATACAAATGCTCACCTCACCTTTTAAGCTAGCAAAGCCAGTCATCCTTGCTTGATCTCTGACTTCCCTCCTCCTCTGTAGAGATCAGTTGTCTGTGAAGTGATAGCACAGTCCTTACCTTCCATTTCCAGTCTTTTCCAATAACTTTTTTGCTGACTTAATTTTAAGTGAATTCTGGATGCTTCCTTCTTACCTATCTGCTGTAAATTTAAAGGCTCCAAGAGTCTCCCACCCAAAGATTATCCTCATACTTGAACATGCCCATGCACCTACACACACCTAGAGATGATTCTTCTGTCTTCCTAAAAATTACCAACGTTCCTAGTAAGGAAAACTGTAAATGTGTCCTTCCCCAACCCTCACCCAGATCATCATTCCTTTGCCCCCTACCCCCAAATACTTGATAAATACCTACTGTGAAACAGGCACTATGCCGGACTATTGGAGATGCCAATGTGGCTGATGTGTATAAGACATTCCATTTCTTTTAACTAGAGTTGAAGAGGGGCAACAAACCAGAGCACAGGTAACAAGACAAAACAATGTGATGAGGACTATAGAAGAGGGCATGGAGTAGAGAGAGGGGCAACTAACTGAGGTTACAGCTCCTGTCTAAGGATGATATGGTTTGACAAGTGAACTGGAGTGGAAGGGTTCTAGGTAGAGAAAGAAGCATGAACATGTATGAAAGCCAAGAACCTGAGAATGATGTGGGGTTGGGGGAAGGGGAGAGGCTGCAGATGAATCTGGAGAGACTATGTGAGTTTCAGATTTGCATCTTAGGAAGTCTCTTGTGGTAGGGAGGATGGACTGAATAGGTCCAACTTTCAGAAGGCAGACTGGAGACTAGGCGGGCAAACTTCAAACATTGCAGACTTTTACCTTCCTCTGGTCTTATCCTCTGCATTTATTCTCTTACATGTATTTTTTGGTACTGGAAAAAAACCCTTTTGAAAAATCTGGGTCTTCCAAGCAAATGCTATCCAGTACTGAGCATTTCCTTTTGGTTGCAAGCCTAAATTAATTGAAACCTGTAGGCCTTAAGTTATAAACAAGATTTGATGGAATTCAGGTGTAGGTTCCCTGTTTGAGTCGTAAGTGTATGATTAAAATTTTCTTTTTATTGGTATAATTTGTAAGCAGTAAAATGCAGAGATATTAAGTGTACAGTTCAAAGAATTTTTGACAAATGTATACATTCATGTAACCAAAACCCAAATCAAGAAATAGTACGTTTCCATTACTCCCCCCAATTCTGTCTTTCTCCTTTTTAGTCAATTCCTCCACACCCACAGAGACAACCACTGCTCTGATTTCTATCATTGTATATTAGGGTTGCCTTTTTAGAATTTCATATGGAATCATAGAGTTTGTACTCCTTTGTGTCTGGATTCTTTTGTATCAAATAATGTTTTTAAGAGTCACTCATGTTGGGCATATTAGTAATTTTTTTTATTGCTGGATAATATTCCAGTATATAAATATGCTATAAGTTTTTTAGTCATTTATTTGTGGATGAATAGTTGAGTTAGTTTCAGTTTGGGGCTATGATTAACAAAGCTGTCAACATTCTTCTATAAGTTTTTTCCCCTAAAACTTTCTGCATACTTTTTTTTTTTTTTTCCAGAGGCAGGGTTTGTTTGCTATAAAAGTAGATTCTGTCCCCTCTTTCACTCGCACTCTCCTACCCTCTCTGCCTCCCACTGTGGGACGATGCAGCGCAAAAGCCCTTGTCAGATGCCAGCAACTCGATATGAGACTTCTCAGCCTCCAGACTGTGAGAAATCAATTTCTTTTCTTTATACATTCCCCAGTTTGTTATGGCAACACAAAATGAACTGAGACACTTGGGATGACTACACATCTCTGCTCCTATACCTATCATCCTCTCTAACATTCAGTAACTGGCACCAAGAGGTACAAGGAAGTCCATAATTGCTCTAAGGCAATTATCTTTTCCCCTAAGGTATTCATAGAAACTTATTAAGCCCTTCTAACCACGAGCATTTCCATTCAACCCATGAATCTAAACATCTAAAAAAACACTCGATCTTCCAATGGCTTAAAAAATTCCATTTTTTCACCTAGACAAGGTTTGTATTTGCTTCTCCACCCACACTATATATAAAATATAAAAGCTATTTTGGTCTGAAGAAGGAGCTTAGCACTGAATGTAATACATATGTGTACATAGTATTTTCCTATGTGATTACTTATTTGCTTAATAGAAACTTTCATATAAAGAAAATGATCCAGAAGAGAGCTACAGGTTAAGTAGAGGCTCCTACCAACTACATTGTGTGAAGAGTTCTTTGTTTCTAGCAAGGACTAGACGAGGGAAAGTAAGTTTTTAAGCAGAAATTCAGGGTGTGTTTCATGTAGTCTTAATACTGCCTGGTGACTTTTCTTGTGAAATTGCCCCATGTTATTTAGCTGTTCTATCATCTTTTAACATTTAGGCTTGTATCTTGATCCCAACTAAATAGTGTACTTGTTAGATAGAGCAAGAACCATGTTTCTGTTTTTGTTCACCTTTGAGTCTCCCCAGGGCCTTGTACATAAAATGAATGGCCAATTACATTGGTTAAGTAAGCTGTAGAAGATTTAGGTTGGGCACATTTGGTGAGGGCCTTCTTGCTGCATCATAACGTTGCAGAGGCATCACATGGCTAAAGAGGACAAAAGTGCATGAAACAGAATGATGAAGGCATTTATCCATTAATCACCTCTTAAAGGTCCCACCTCTTAATACCATCACAAGGGTGGTTAAATTTCATCATGAGTTTTGGAGGGGACATTCAAACCACAGCCATCTCGTTCCCTTTGTGAAGCTCTTGGTTTAAGCATGGGATGTAATACAATTCTGGCTACTGAAATGTGAGGGCAAATTTTGGGCAGTTTTCTAGGAGGATTTGTTTCAAGTTTAAAAAGATAACCAAGACACCAACATTTCCTTTTCTACCTGTGGACATCTGTATATGAGCTGAGAACTGCAGCAGCTGTGTTGAGACCACGAGGGGAGCCAAACTTAGAGGCCAACCTGAAACGCCAAGGACTAAGGGGAAGAAAGCTGGGAAGAGCTGGGATCGTTAAGAACTGCATCGAATCAGTGAGTTAACCAGCCCTGGAACTGCCCTACCTCTGGATTTCTTTCCTGGGAGATTATAAATGTCCTTATTTTTAAAATCAATTTTATTTGTATTTTCTGATATTAGCAGTCAAAATCACCCAGATATGGTGGGTTTAACCCATCAGAGCCTTACTTAATGCCGCTGGCATGA